AGCCAAAATGCAAATATGCTAGATAAGCCTAAATCAGCTTAAATCTTAGCCCGTACTTCGTGTAACGTGAACACAACTAATAGTAGCCAATCTTGTATGTTTGCATATCGGATCGACCCAATTGTGTTCATGCACGGGAGGAAACAGTGTAACACAGGCTACGTAACGCCCAAACTTGTTAAGAATATGCACAAATTTTCAGTCATTTTAACTATGATTACACAGTACAGTAACTAGGAAGGTATACATGTTAGTTCTACATCATAAAACAATACCAAATTAAATTTATAAAGTGCAGATTGCAGAATAATAGGAAGCAGCACAGAATTTCATCATCAGTTCATTTTTTTTTGGAACATATTCTTCATGTGCTCGTGTTTATTGTCATGTCAGTAATGGCATACCAAAAAGAACAGTTATGAATATAATAGTAAATCTTCCAAATGTTTTGGACATTTAGCCCATCCTAAGCGTTCATGCACACTTCTTTAGCACATGCTAAGGATCTGGACTTGGTCTTAAAAACAGGCCAGATTTTTTCTGGACTCGGCATTACTTAGACCGTGCTAAGCGTTCATGCATGTTTTCTTAGCACAGGCTACGATATTTGATCTATTAGCCTATGCTAAGGCTGTGCATGAACACTAGAAGTGCACATGCACACACACACAATTTGGGTATTTCATTCACAGCACTTTGTCATCACAACTTGAACACAAATGATGGAATATATCAAAGTAAGCATGGTTACTGAAGAAAAAATTATTATGCTGATTTGACACATTTCTGTGCCTGATACAAATGTTACGTAATTTAATACTTGCTTTGTGTGTATTGTAATAAGCCTGGCCTCCTAATCCTCCTTCTTCTTCTCCTGTCCACATCACCATCTGCAGAGTTCGCTTTGGTCTCAGACCCAACTGTCGCATTAGAGACAGTGCCTGCCAAGGAACAATGCAATTCATCTATTACATGTAATAGCAATTTGTACAGAGTAGAATCCACATCTTGGGTTACATCTTGAACTAGCATATTTACAGAGAATGGGATAACTTTCTTTTAAGCAGTTTTCATTCATTTGTGAATAATTTAAGATCCAAATGCGAGTAACATGATTTATTAAGATTGATTTACCTGCCAAGAAATGAAGGCACCACCGCCATCATCCATCGCACCCTGTCCAACATCCCAGCTGTCTAAATGACCACTTATTAGAACAATCTGATGAAACACAAACAAAACAAATCTGGTGATTACATCATTAGTATTAAACAGTGAGTTCAAAAATAATGTTCACTGGCTTATAATTTATTTTCACTGAAGAAATTAATCAGTCAAAATATTTTGTTTTATATTTAAATATCAGTGAAAATAAACAGTAAATGTCAGCTAAGCGAAAATTAAATCCAGCTGAAATAAAGTAATTTACAATAATGAATCAAAGTTAAACTGTAAATAGCTCCCGTGTGATCAGAGCATGTATTATAAAGGTATAGGCTTTGCCTAATAAGTTAATGTAATTGCATGTAGGTCAATCCATCAATAAAATTGATCAAGATGTCTGAGAATCTATGACATACATAATCATATGACATCTATGACAAACATCAGAATAAACTCCGCACATACAGACATCTAAAAACAAAATTCACTTTTGAAAAATATTTAGAAACTGTGTAAAATCCCTTCCACATGTCATCCATGACCAAACTAAGAATTAGTGCTCATGTGTTAGGAATAGAAACTGAAAGACATAAAAACATAAAAACATTGACATTTCAAAAAGAAAATGTCAGTTTTGTCAATTAAACGAAATAGAAAATGAAGAGCACTTCCTTCTTAAATGCGGTCTCTATAAAAAAGAAAGAAATGAGCTTCTCAAAAATTTGATGCTACCTCCAAAATTTCCTGACAAAGAAAAAATAGTTGCAATACTAAACAATGGTAGTAACAAATTAGCTCCTCAAATTGCTAAGTACATAGATGATTGTTTTAAAATCAGGGAGAACAACCAAAAAAAAAGTACTACCAGCTGCCTCAAAATGAATAAAAACATTTACTTTCATTTATTATATTTTATTAATACATTTGTTTTATACTCTTTTAATCTCATTTAATTTTTTTTTCATTGCTATACCTTTATTGTATTCTTCAATCAAAGTCCCATAGCGGATACGATAACAATAAAGATGATTATTATTACTGTATATGGAAACGCATGATTTTGATATGGGCATTTTGAAAAACATACCTAGAACAGATAAATAAAAACATCATAGTTTAATGTTCGTCCGGACTTTGAACCTTTGAAATTAAGTGAACCAGCCCTTACATATGCCAACGATTGAAATTTGTTTAATTTCTATCAAATTATCACTCAAAAAAAATATTTCATTTGTGAGACGTGCTTTTGATACAAACTGAAGATCGCGATCGACCCTACACAAAACTACCACCATTTTGTCTTCCTTGTCCTCGTTCGGCAAAAACAAAAAACTCACATATTTACTATTTGTTTAATGAGTGCATTTTTGTTTAAAAATATCAAACAAGAATAAACACTAAGTAAAATAGGAATCAACTGCTTCATTTTATTTGAGTAAGATGGAAACCATGCGAAAACAAATATGAAACATTACTGTCTGCTCGAGGAGAAGACACTGGGAGTCGTGTGCAAAGAGATTGTTTACAAAATAGATCACATTGGAAGTGCTTTCAGTCACGTTGTGTAGCTTCAATGCGTAAAATAGAAAATTTATATCTTGAATAAAACTGACAAACTTCCTTGCTGTGCTGTCGCGTGTCTGCCTTATACACGGACTAAGTGTAGACGTGAGGATTCACCTTTCTATTTCTCTGCTTGTGGCGTCGCAATAGCGGTGAAGGTCAGTACTGGGTTGAACCCAGTACTGACTGGGTTGAACCGACAGCCATGGCCACTATATTTTGAATGATCATAAATAATTTTTGAACCCAATAGTAGTGATCACTGTGATTATTATATAAATTTCTTGCAAAGTCTGGAACGATACTGAAAAAAAATCATCGATTTCCTTCTATATTCATGCTTGAAAGTAGGCCGAAGTATCCGCAGGTGAATATGAGTATCCAGATAATAAGTTAGGATCGATCAGTTCACACGAATTGTTCTGTTCTGATTCATCATTGCAAAACAATGGCCTGGAAACGGCCCAGCTTGAGGGAAACAGTATCGTGAAAAGAAAGAACAGTATCGGACCCGTTTTTTTTACCATTTTTTTTTTGAGACAGAATACATTATTGCAATATGCAAATTAGGCTACTCACCCTAGTCAAATATTTGTTAAGAAACTTTAAAGACTTAATGACGTGCATCAGGAACCCGTAATGTCTAATGTATGTATTAAGTTTGAACGAAATCCATCCATAAATGCTTGATATTTGATGATTTTTTAGCACAAAAATGGCCACCATTTGGCCATTTTGAATAGGATCATCAAACCAATATATCTGTCTATCTATGACATGATGTATAATGAATATTTAAAATTTGAACATTATCAGTGAAAGCAATTCAGAGATATGGCACGAGAACCACATTCATTACACAAAATGGCCCCCAATCGACCATTTTGAATCTTATCTGAAAAACAAAATTATTTACCAAGTTTTAACAAAATCCATCTGTAAATAGCCAAGAAATGCTTGATTTTTAGGATTTTTTAACACAAAAATGGCCACCATTCAGCCATCTTGAATCAGATTGTAAAACAAAATGATGTGCATCAAGGTCTTATAATGTCTAATGTATATAAGAAGTTTGAACAAAATCCATCTGTAAACAGCCGAGAAATGCTTGATTTTTAGGATTTGTTAACACAAAAATAGCCGCCATTCGGCCATCTTGAATCAGATTGTAAAACAAAATGATGTGCATCAAGGTCTTATAATGTCTAATGTATATACCAAGTTTGAACAAAATCCATCTGTAAATAGCCAAGAAATGCTTGATTTTTAGTATTTTTTAACACAAAAATGGCCACCATTCGGCCATCTTGAATCAGATTGTAAAACAAAATGATGTACATCAAGGTCTTATAATGTCTAATGTATATACCAAGTTTGAACAAAATCCATCTGTAAACCAAAAGTTTGTTTGAAATGAAACCAATCATACCAGTATTTATTCAATGAACCTAATATAATTTACTAAATATGGCCACCAGTCAGCCATATTAGATTGGAACAGGTAACAAATTGCACTCATTAATGTTTCCATTATTATATCTTAAATAAACTCCTTTAATCATAAAGTTCTGTGTTTTATTTCTCACCTGTTCTGGATACTTGCTTCCTTTAATTTCAGCTATTGTATTTCGAGATTTCACTTGTGGTAAAGATTTTGCTTCCATTTTCAAATGAATCACAATTTTTGTTCCTCAGGATAGAAAAAACAAAATGACTTCAACGAAGAAATAAGACATAGTAAAAACTGAATGAATCTTGTGATTCACAGCATTTTCCCCACAATGAGATGGACAACTTATTCTGGGTCTACTGGGCAATGTTCACATTTGCATGTTGTAAGATTGTGGCATGAATACATTGGCTTTTTCCTTTAAGGTACATCCTGTGTACATCCCTGCAGTGCACCATCGTACTGTGAAAAACTTTATTTTAGCTGGAATTAATTTTCGCTGAAAAGACTTTTTTGATGTTTTGTGTGGATTTTATTTTCACTGAATATTGACAAATTGAATGTAAAATATAGAAAAAAAAGTATATTCCCTGGATTTTATTTTCACTGAATCATTCCTTCAGCCAAAATAGCGAAAATTAATTTCAAGCGAAAATAAAGTATTCTACAGTGACATATAATTATAATTTTGTTCTCTATTCAGACTATATTACCTCTGGCTGCCATTCTTGCAAGCATTTGGGCATCTTCAATTGTAATACAGGCTGTTGGGACTTTTTTCACTTTGGGATCATAATCCTATGGCAAGAAACAACATAATATATTAAAAGCTAAATAATTTGCATTTCAGGTAATTGAATAATAACATTATAATACTTACCTGCCAACCAGTGTGTGGACTATGAATGGAGAATGGCGCAATTGATCTTATCAGTGATGCAACACCACCAACCATTGCGGCTTCTTTAGCCCCGTAATCTCGATAAGCCACTGATGTAGGATACCCTTCATAATCTTCGTTATAAACTATAATTTTTCCTTTAGCCTAGGAAAGAATTAGTAATTAAAATAGCATTACCGGTACTAGGAGCATAGAATAACTAAAAATATATCAGTACCTTCAAATCACTAGTACACAAATTTATCAAATAGAGCTGAATAAAGTCTGATGTAATGACCAATATTGTGTGAAAACTGGGAGCAGGATAGTGGAATAAAATTATTTTTTTCACTTAAAGCTGGTCCTATGGTAAAATATTCCAAATACATATTTCATGTTTCTTCAATGGGGTCAGGCACTTGACTAGTTCCACTGAACTACCTCCTCCATAATGAAGTGTGCTTCTTTTTTTGTATCGTAACGTACCGTGAAAATGGTGAAATACAAATTTTATAATAAATTAATAATAATTTGATTTTTAATAGCATCACTCGATATGCAATCTTTTGGCACAATAATTGATCTATCATTATCATCTGAAAACAGATTGATTCCACTCATCACAGGGTGTCTTGGCCAATGAGTGATAATTGTTTAAATTATGATTTCATAGTAATAAAATAAAATACGTGAAAATCTTACCTCTCTTGATTTGTTATGTAATTCATCAAATGAATTGACAACCAATACTTCTGCTGTGATTCCTACAAATACAATGCCATACACAAATCAAATATCCAATCACAGACATGGAACATAAACAACTGACTTGGATGTCGCTATGTTACGATGATATGATATGGTACTG